AATACCGGTCCCACTTTTGGGGATTGTCTCAGACAATATTAAAATCCTGAAATATTTCCTGCATAAATATGTATTTATATACAGTATAACTTTTGTTTTGGTTTCAAAGTCCAATGTAGTGATGAGGGTGCAGCTCATGAATTACTGTGCACAGACTGGACTATGACTGACAGCGAGGTTACATCCACATGACAACTTACCCGTGATGGTAAAGATCGGTCCCCATCTTTTAATTGTGTATTTTAGTTTGTTAATCCTCTGGAGGAAACGTACGTAGACTTTCAAGTACATTAATTAATTCTCAAGGATTATAGACTTAGTTGTCTTCCCTACTTGTTTGCTGTTGCTCTTATAATTATCCTCTTCTCAACACAGTTTGCACGTCCTTTCCTCTTAAATATCCCACAGTATAGACATCCATATAATTATGGAAAGTCAACCGTGGTCTATTGAACAATTAGTGTATTGCATGGCTTATTATTTCTGCCTTTTAATTCACAGTGGTGCTGGTGATTTCAACAAATACTAAAAACAATTTTTTGTAAAATATTTTTGTAAAAAATAAAAAAAATGACTGCCTTTTTCTGACATGGGAATGTATATGAACATGTTGGCTATTTCTGTTGGAGTTTCTGTTGAGTAAGACCATAATGTGTTCCAGCTGAATATCTACAGACACTGTGACCTCTTTGTGTCACCTCACATGTAGTACGATGTTTCAGTCCCACATGGAGTTAGTAGCCTGAATGGGTGGGTGTTGGGGGTTTGGTGGATGAAAGCTGTACTGCCCTTTTTGTCTGGATGAGTGCCCTTTTCAAATGGCAAATTAAAACATTTTTCCTTATTTGTTGACTGCATCATCTTACTGAAATAGAAGAAATGTCATGAATGATAAAGATTTCAACCAAAACTTTTAGTTTTGGTTGATATTTAAAGGTGATTGTAATACTTTCTCATCTTGAGCTACGTTTCTATCTACAAACCACGTGAGAGGAATATTTGATAAAATCTTAGTCAAAGTTATTAAAATGAACTTTCTGTTGAATCCTTCGCAACCATGAGTAGACACGGAGACATTCAGACAAAGGTCGCCAGTTAATCTGGCTGCCAGCTGATCCATTGTTTTGGAAATTTGAACACACAAAGTTGAACTTTTTTGTCGTGTTTTAGAGTTCCCTGTGAAGTGTGATATACAAAACCTCCACAAACTATTACTCCGGTACCAACTGGCATGTGGTTCCAGTCCGAGGTCCTCTCAAAGTAGGTCATGCCAGATGCCTGTTTTTAAATGTTGCACATGCTTACCACCTGTGTGAATCACCTCAGTGGACTTCTCCACTGCGAGAGCAGTCGCATGAAACTCCTGAACTCCCCACTTAATAATGTGCAGAGTGAAGTCAACTCCCCTAGAAAGAGTGTATCTACAGTATATTCCACTACCTGCAGGCTACAGCCATAGGGACTAAACTTATAGGTTTTCAGCAGCAACAGCCAAGAACACAGGAGCATAGACTGTGAGGTCTTGTGGTTGCATTGAATGCCATAATGCATTCATATTTATGCAGAATTGAGCTCCGTCAGGACCGCCGGTTGCCACTTATCCTCATTTGGTGTCCCAGAAGAATTGTCTGTTTTGGGGTCAGCTTTTGCATGTGCAGATACTCTTAAGAGAGATGGGGAGGAATCGTTTCACCGCTGTAAAGAACAAATGCTCAGTCCTTAATTCAGCTGAACATCTGTGATATTAGCCACTCATTTGATGACTCTAGCGACTGCCAAGTCATATAACTGCTTTTTTTGGCATTGGGCAGATAATTGTTAACATCCCAGCTGCTTCTGGCATCATCATCTCATTTGTGAGAGACTGTAGAAACACCAGCAGCCCTTGAGTACGACCACAGAGCTGATGCAGAAAGGTTAAAGGCCAGCTGTCCTGTGCCAAAGCGCAGGTGTTGTTTGATACCATGCATTAGCCAACACAGTAAGGGCACAGAGCGAATGTGGGTGAACTAAAATAGACGTGTTCATTTCTGTGAAACACTCCAGTGGCTTGAGTAGAGGCTGTACAAAACCTTGTAGAGGAATTGTATGTTAGGAAGTGCTTTGATGACAATTTGGGATGTGAGACCCTCAGTTAATATTGTAAATTTCTAATCTTCTTGGTTTTCTATGGCCACAATCCAAGTCCAATCTGATACATTGACCGTATACACGTCTCACATTTAAATTAGAACTGTGAACTGAATTTGGCACACCTTTTTGTTTTACGAGTTACTTGATCCAAATACTTAAGGTCCTGGTTCAGAATTTAAAGCGAAAATCAATAATCTGATGAATGACGTTTAAGTTTTGGAATGCGACTCCTGAAAATGAGATGAGCAAGAGATGAGCAATAGAAAGGATGTAGTGATACAAGAATGTCTGATGTAATTTACCTTAAAGGAGCTATATTTAACATTCTGAATATTAGATATGAAATAGTTGTTTCCTGCTATATTAAAGATATAATGGAGCAGAGAATGAACTGTGTGCGTTGTTACCCGAGCTTCTCCTTGCTTTATAGCCGGATACGTTTATAAACGGATCTGTTTAAAAAACAAAATGAATGAAATTAATTATTTTCCCGCTACTTTCATTTATATTTTTCATGGATTAAATTAATAAAATACCACATGTTATTTGATTTGTGGCTTGTGAATATTTCGACCTGCAGACAAACGCTCCTGTCTGTGACCACCGGCTGTCTTTTAGTTGAAAACATAACCGTACGTATGTTATATAGGAGTAACACATTGAAGACCATTGGCAGTGAGTGTTTTGCAGATGCAGCACAGTTAATATGGACTTCGTCCTTGACATGGGATTTGGTGGCATTATGTTTCCAAAAGTTGATGTTTTTGGTAATGTAAAGCAGTTGCATACCAGTTTGTTCCATTGGTTGTTGTTTGAGAACTTTATTGTGCAAGCATGTGCATGAACTCGGACTGCATGCATTTGACTTGCAACAGCAACGCAGCAAAGGGCTCCTACACAACAAAAATAACTTTGAGGAGGATGACAGTGGAGAATATACCATCTTTTTGTCTAACCGTTATTTGGCTGCCTTTCATGCTCATTAGTTTCAGCCTGTCTGAATCATTCTCTCAACACTGGGAATAATACGGTGTAGTAACTTGTCAAGTACAAATACAGTCCACCCAAAAACTTTGGAAATCATTATTTTTCCCTACCTTGTTATTTCCTCTTGACCCGCAAACTAAATATACTCCAGACACCTCTGGAGAGTGTTCAGATGTATTCGTTCAAGACAGTAAATTCCACTTGAAATGTGGCCAGGAAAGCCCAGTTAAATATCATGCATTTTAGAAACAAGATGAGTGGATGTTTAATGAAAGAGCATTTTTGAGATGACTGTATAATGTTTTTTTAGTGGAGCAAACATCGCCTTCTGTGTTCAGAGCACCAATACTCTGCTGCTGTGAGGCTACAGTCAGCTGAAGTGAATGTATTGTTTTTTTTTGGGGGGGGGTTATTCAGTTATATGACAGGTGTCATCCCTTCCACCACAGTCTGCTGAGACAAGATATGTGCATAGAACATAATGCAAACTGAATAATTTAAGATGGCAAAACTGTGTGAGCAAAACTGTGTTTCTTCCCACTCTTGGTCGGGAGAAATGTGCAGGAAACTTCAAACTTAAAAAAATGACTTTATCGTTGAATACAGTCACAGTGTCTTGCTCAAGGACATGTTGACATGCGGCAAGAGGAGCTGGGAATCCAACCGCCAACCTGCTGTATCCCTTAGTTGCCCTACATCCACTGCTATTGTTTGTTTTGTACATCTACTACCTGCAAAGACAAGTGAAGAGCGATGGGAGACAATGCAATTAAGTGTAAGAAGATATTTGCATTTTCAAAAATTGTGCCTTTCTTTTTCTAAAGGAACTTCAATCACCACCTTTTTCAAAACAGATTTTTTTTAGTTTTTTGATTCAGTGAACCATAGGAATTAACTTTATTCTTTACTTACTAAATATTCAACACATTGTATCTTATCCATAAATGCATACTGAGGACCTTGAAGGATGAAAGCATTGGTCCTAACTGTGCACTGCATCATCAAGAGAGTAAATCAGATTACTGATAGAAGGACTGATTATGGTAAAGGTAAACATAACCTTTCATTTGGAGGTGTTTGCAAATTATAGCTTAGAGGGATAAAGGTTACAACTCTGACATCATTCTGCCATTTGAGCATTGTACACTGATTGTAATGACCTATCTGGACTTAAACATCAGTTGCTGTCGCATTATCTACCCCTTTATCGTGATGGAGATGGAGACGAAAATGTAGATTAAATCCAACTTTATCAAGCAACAGCCTTTGGTGGTAAATTTAACACTTTCTTGTATGTTACATTCCTACATGGTGATTTAGCCTCTAAAGCCTATTTTCATGCTCATTAAAGCTGATATCAGTTAACATTTGTATGTTTCCTTTGTTTGTTTGGAGAAATTTCAATTGTTTAAAGGAGAAAAATTTGACAAACTCTGAACAAAGCATACAAGACTTTGTATCTAACATCAACAAGAGTTTAGTGAGCTTCTGAATGATATTGAGTCACTAGAAAATAAAAAACCTGTTTGGACCTTAGTTGCAGCCCTCTTCCATATGGTTTTGTGGAAATTTAAATGAACTGATGATAAAAGATAATATATATACACGATGGAACCGACAACATGCCTGTCACATTGCTCCAGACAGCATGTTGTGTTCTGACAAGAACACTAATACGTACAGACTCTTCGAACCTGTAGCTTTTTCACGTGTTGTAAATGTTGTGAAGTGATGAACAACATGAACATGAATGTCTTTGAGGAGTTTCCCTCGAGCAGTTGGCACTCTCAGCTAATGAGCGACCAGCAGCCTTAAAGTTTTTACCTTTTTAAATAACAAATTAGAACACCGACCACTGAAATCAAAGTATAACGCTCCAATAACTTTTACAAAAGTATTCATTTTTTAATTGATTTTAGTTAAGGCAATCCAATACAAAGCATTTCACAACCCATCATATGACAATAATCATGTACAATAAAAACCCATTTAAAGAAAAGTAGGGAATCATGCAAATCAGAAAACTCGAGGTACAAACAATAGAGAGATTGTGGGATTTGACAAAATTAATATAAAAAAGTTTTGACTGTAACACGCTAATTAAGCTACAGTTGTGAGACAAGAAATGTTTGGAGAACCAGGCACAAGAGAGAAGAAATAGCAAACCGTCCACAGAGCTTACTGCCTTGTTTGGCACAGGCATGCATGTAATCTGGTTGGGCTGGTTCCTATTATACAGACGGTGGCACTCTTTTATGTACCCCAAGAAAACATGCAGTCAACCCATCACACTAATAAATCGGGATGTTAACAGGTCACCGTAATGGCATAATGGACAGGAGCGATGGCTTGTCATACAAACTCCAAAAATAGATAAATAAATATCTTCAATACAGTAATATTGCCAAAAATATATCAAACATATACAACAAGCACTCCTCGTGAGGATAAAGTGCTGTTGGGATCTCTTTGCAAACCAGGCGTTCATACACTTTCCATCTAATAGAAGTCGACTCTTATTTTTTCACTGGTAACTAAGAAAAGAACAAGGATTGACAAGCAAATAGCTGTTTTGACCACCATCAAATATTTTCCTCTCCTCCACCCGGGAGCCATACCTTCCACCTGAGCTGATTTTCAGTACAGGACTAAATGAGATGCAGTGACATGCCTTTCACATGATTAAGACCTTTAGTTTGCTACATTCGACATTTTGAATAGAACCATTTTAGCTCAGATTAATTCTGCCTCTGCCTCGCTATGTCAGTTAAAAAGGAAACAACCCCTTTTACAGTCTATTATACACATTGTAGCATTGTTTGTTTACTCTCTACAGCAATGAAGGAAGCATGAAGGTTAGAATAGTAAACAAAACCAAGTGAAACTGGAATAATACTAAAAGAAGAACAATGGCCGCTGTGAAAGATTGACACAGATTGAAAAAGTAAGATTAGGAAGCAGTTTATGTTCATGTGATGCTAAAAAAAAAAGATGAACAAGATACAGCCATGCTAGCAGCTCTGTGAGGCGGCACGTACACAAAGCGTTGTGTTGGGCTAAATGCTAACATCAAGATGCTCACAGTGACAAGAGGTAAAGTCAGGGAGTCACCGCAGTCTTTAGGATACATTTAAAATTTCATGACAAACCATACAATAGTTGTGGAGAAATTTCTGTCAGACCAAAGTGTCCAACATTTGCATCCCCACAGCCCCACTGCTATTGTGGTTAAACATTCAATAAAGCAAATAAAAAAAGAATCTGCATTCCATGGAAATACCCTTATTTATGCAATATTTGTATGGCTGCTTTCAAATTGAGCCTTTCCTTGCCTACTGCATGATTTTTAAGTTGGGTGTCCTGTTCCTTTTTTAAGTACAAAGCCTAACGTAGAAAGGCTAATGATGTGGCTAGCAGACTATGTCACGATGAACAATGAGAAACAAAACAAACATTGTTAGTGCAAATTGAGCAGGAATACTATGTGATCTGTCAGATGACAGGTATGATGGGAGAAAAGAGTGTTACAAAGTATTCTGCACTTTTATCAATCTCTTCCTTGTTATTGTTATAATCCTCCGTATGAACCCTTTTGTTTACTGATCATGGATCACATTCCTGCAATTTCCAATTTTTTACAGTATGAGCTCTGCGTTTGTTTAAGGCAACAGGGATTGCTGTCAGGGATTGTTGTTTCATCATTGTGCGAGGACGCATCACAAATGACAAGCTTCGTTACTGATGCGGTGAAATTGGATCTGCCACTTGAAAGCCAGTTTGTTTTGGTTTCTTCACACTAAACTGATGTCACAGATGGTAAGATACATAAAGCCAAACTAAGATTAGCACAAACGGATCCCTCTTTACCCTGTGGTATAAACAGATTGTTAATGTGTTTACACATGAGAGAATTACTCATATGCTAGATGTAATGCACATAAATCCTAAAGCTCTGGAGACCACTTGTAAATTGTCTCCCAACAGAGACTTGCACTGCTGCAAGGACTGGACTGTAAGAGGAACACTGGCGATGATCGCATCAACTTACAGTGTAAAGTCTATGACGACGGAGGTTTTGTGGCTGCTGATGCGTGGCCGTTGGGGACTTACGGATTTCCACTGAAATGGTCATCTTTGAGTTGCAGAGGTGGTGTGTCTGCAACCGAATCAGGGCCGGATTAAGCTGCCATTGGTACCTGGGGCAGGAATTACATGTGCGCCCTAAACCAATAAACATAGCAGTGCTCCTACATTGGAGTGCTACCTGTGCCCTATGTTTGCTGTGTGTCAGTTAATCATATTTTGATAAAATACACATTTATATCATTCATATGTGACATGTACATATAGGAAAGGTATGAAATGAGAATTCAATCTACAAGACTTGGCAACAACCATTGCCTTATGACCCTTACTGTCCGTGTATATTGTGCTTTAGTGGTGTATATAATAGTGTATTTTTAGTGGTTATTGCCTGCTTTGCCAGGTTGACTACAGCTATTAATAGTATTTATGACATCTTTTGTTGAATTTTGTGGCCTTTATTTCTTTTTCCTCTTTCATGGTCCGTATTTTACTTATATGGTAACTTTATTTACGAAATATTACCAAACAAATGCATTTTTTTGTGGATTATGAAAACAGATTACGAGTAATTGGTTAATGTTCCTCTTGTGCAACATCATCCTTTGTGATGGAAGTTTACCCTTATTGAATGAGATCCTTTCACTTTCCTCAGAAACAATGAATGGCAGCACTCAAAATGATTAAATATGATTCAACCTGGTAGCATCATCATAATACTGTCCTTGGTATAGAGACAAGTTGTGCTTCTTATTTGCAATAACTTAAATAATTGGCCCCACTTCAAAACAGATCTATTAAATGCCCATGCCACTCTAAATAACATTGGAGAATAAATATACTGGGATATGGGGAATTAACTTCTCATACAACATGCTCTTATAAACATTTACTTAATAAAGAAGAGTGGAGGTGACACCTTAAGGTATGAAAAGCCTGATTTAAAGTTGGTAATGTAATAAACTGTAAACTACACACCTGCAATTTCTCCTTGATTATAACCGATGCATTAGCAGATATAGAGATAATCCCCAAATACAAAAACTAATTTCCAGAAGGGAAAAAGGTGACTAAAAAATATCACTGCATTAGGCCACACCAAATACTGATGAGCAAGGCTTAGGTCAAAGATCACATGTCCTGATACAATTAGAGAAACAACCACAGACAGGCACAAGTTTAAACCACAACATGACCTTTTTGAACCAACCTGCTGTCAAATTAGACGTGAAACAGTCACTGCCTCAGTGTTGGATTAAAAGTTTGAGCCTCTCTGAGAAATCATCCAAATGAATATATCACAGAGAAAAAGCCCCCCAAAAAAGCTGCTCCAATAGTCACTTGGGAGTATACGGCACAAAATTCAACACCCATTTCCTAGTGCGTCACCTCCTGTTTGCACCAAAACAGGAGGTAGAGAGTTCCCACTGGACTTTGAGTGGCTGCTGCATGCTGTCAGTACTCAGTGAAAAGCGAAGACGAGGGCTTCAGATCTGTGTGTGGTGGTGTGTCTGTCCGGGAGGTGTGTAGGGAGGTGGCGCTGGGTTGGGTTTGATCCCCCTGCTCTTCATGTAAGAGATTAACTGGTCCGGGATCTCTGCTAGCACATCTTTAGCGAGCCGAGCCATGCTTAACACGTGGTTGCCTGTCCGGTCCATGTAATCTCTGAAGGGAACAAACTGAGGAAGAAGAGCAGAAAGAGGAATATCAATATGTTGATATTCAGGAGTAACTTCCCAAAATTATCATTTGTGTGTCAATTACTCACACTGTGTTGCCTTAAATTTGAGAGGAATTTTTGTCTTTCATGCGTCAAAGAACAAAGTATCAAAAAACGAAGAAAGGTCTCGAAGAATTAAATAGGGGTCTCGTCAAACAACAGCAAAACTAAATCGAAACATCCGTTTAGAAACAAACTCCTGCAGTATAATCCAATCAGTCGTATGCTGACTACTTCCCAAACACATGCATCATTGCTAAAACCTACTAAAGCACTTCTGCATAAACAGTCTGAGCGAGTACTTTTTATGTGGAAGTATTTCTAAATAGTAAGGTTTTAACGAATTCTTCGTTCACGAAGAACGCATGAGAGAAAAAAGTTTTCTTCACAAATTCAAGCTTAACACTTGGTGAGTAATTGATAAAGTCTACAAGTGATCACTTTGGTGGTGAAATATTCCTTCACTGGACTTGAAAACATCAGGTCTAGCATAATTCTATCTAGGGATTTTGGACTACTGTTGTAGTGATTCCTGAAAAGCTTTAATACTTTTTGACAATGTACACAAATAGGTTTTGGAAGCAAGTTGGCATACTGAATGGAAAAATCCAGAGGACTCATGTCTAAGCCCCTGTGTTAGTCAACATTTGCCTGATCCTGCAAGCTTTAGTATGCTGATCTGTCACTAATCCTGCACTCTGGCTCCCCTCAGGAGTGAGAGGAAATAAATGAGCCCAAGTGAAAAGATACATTTTTGTCCTGATCAAATTTCTTTGGATTCCCTCTTTTCTATTATTTGTCATAGCGCATCAATGTTTCCCCAGGAAGATGTTTAGCAGAGGTGGTAAACCGCCCAAACCCTGACAACTCTGCCATAAAACATTTAGAAAACCCTGCGCATTTGCCCACTATTCAGTTAGTTTAGTTTTGACACCACAGTCGGTAAGTGGCGATCTGTATCTCATGGCTAGAGACTGCATGAGCCCAAGCTTGATAAATGTTTATCGACTGTATTGTCTGTTATCTGAAGGCTGTGCTGACATTTTTGAGTAATTCCCGAACTTGTTTTTCCAGTTCCTCGTGTCTCAATCTGTAATCAAAGTGACTGTAAAGGGCAGTCACCTGAACAATGTCTCTCTCTGCTAGTTTCCCCCGCGATGAGATCCTGATGTCATCACCATCCAGCTCCACCATAGCTGGAAGACACAAGGTCACACACACATGCATGGATGCACACACACACGCACACACACAGTGTGTGAAGTAAGCACACACGGGTGTCTTTAGGGCAGAGACAAGGTTGATACACTACCGGTGCACAGGTTTAGTTATCATATACGTCATATTAATCGATATCTTTTTTGTTTTAGCATTAGTAAAGTAGAAAGGGTGTTGAGCTGCACAGCTTTAATCAGTCTTCATTGCTTGTCTAATTGACTAATAAGTCCTTTATTATAGTCTCTGTGCAATTTAGAATCATCTGTACTAAACACTGTAAACCCTGCAATTAACCTCAGCTATTTATTCTACAGCTATGCCCGCATTCACTCCCGCAGTCCTTTCTCTACTGACTCAAATGAGTTTGTACAGTGACTTTCTCTCGGGTGTTTCTCTGAATTGGAGCCAGAGAGGTTAATGCTGGCTGTAACAGTAATAGACTGTGAGTTGTATGAATTAACATGTCAAATATTGGCCCATCTGTTTAACTGCCTTGATTTATAAAGATGAACGTCAGAATATAACACTACTGATGTTTTAAAAGATGTTTTCTTTTACTGTGGAAGCTATCTGTATGTGTCTGCCCGAACAAAATTACCAGAACATTTAATGCAGCAGTCAAAATAAAAAAAATAAAGTCACCCTACCGTCAAACTCAGCCTGACCCACTCCAACTATGATGATGGACATGGGAAGCTTGGCACCCTGCAGAGAAATCGAAAAAGAAGAAGTGGACAAACATTTTTTTTTTCTTTACAAACAAAATGTTCACATTTCTTTTAGTAAAAAAGTAGGAGAGACGCTTGTCCAAATCTCCACCGACCTGAAGGGCTCATTACATTATGTCAGATATCCTAGCCATTACATGCTCACCCACATAGATCACAATCACGCTAATGTTCTGTATCACGCTTTAACTAGCTGAATGACCTTTAACTAAGGCCTCCAGAGAGAAAAAGAGACAGAAAGTCAGCAAAATAGGGAGATGCTACAGCAGAAACTTGTTTTTGTCTCTGCTTTCCTTATCCCAGATGTTTTATGTCCCGAATTCCAATTTTCTGTCATATGAATGGTTCTTATCTCTGGATGACACACACTGTATTTGCCCACTGAATGCTGGTTATCAGGCTGGGGAGTGGAGATTACCGGTAAACTCACTGACAACACTAACAGCATCCCCTGAGATAGTGGGACAACAGGTCATATCAGTACTGAAGCCGTTTCATAGAAAACAAACAATCAAATTTGAATGAATGAAAGTCTGACCTGCAAAAAGAGCTGTGTTGTGACATTATACACTCTAAGAAGCTGTTTAAGGCTCAAAGGAGACAATAGTTCACAGGGAGGAAGACAAGTGTTGGCGGACACCTTGATGAGGTCTTAATGAAAGGTGTGGCATTCGTGAGCTGGGAGAGGAGGGAGAGGGAGGAGGTGCAAACTTCAATCAGTACAGCGACCATCCTCAGTCACCCGCCCAGCTGCTCCCAAGTCACATCTAAGTCAGATAACTCTGCTGTCAATCTCTCTTCTGTGGAGGGTTACCGTCTCCAAACAAAGGCAACATCTAGATTGAAAATCCGTCAAAAAGCAAAAGATACCAACATTTATGAAACACATAGGACTGGGAAATGAACCATGTTGACCATCTTAGTTTAGTATGTTAGCCTGCTAACACCTGCTAATTAGCACTCAAAATAAAGTTGGAGTTGAAAAACGGCATGTACTACTGGATTGTTTCACAAGAAGCCAGTTTAAACCAATGAAAAACTAAATCATCGTCAGACTATAGCCGATGGATTCCCAGATTGCATTGCGGCCAATGCGTTTCCCCTCTTTTGCTCCCCACACAGACTATTAACCTGCATCCAATCGCAGCTTTCTCCAACGGGATTAGTTAACACTACGCGGACTACAAATGGAAACCAGAACGCTTCCGATACCAAAATCTTGTCGCGAGATTAAGGCACGACTGATGGAAATGTCATTTGACCTGACGGTGACAATATGTAAAAAAAAAAAAAATTGATTTAAGAGGCAAATCAGTACACATATATTGATTTAATCTAAACCAGCTCTAATAACCAACAAACACACTGTATGTTTCAGTAAATATTTCTCTTCAAGCAGCCAAAACAGCTTCTCTTCTTTTGTTTGTCTTACTGTATTAAATGCAGCTAGAGTGACTTTCTTTATGTTCTGCTTGAGTCACTGTGACTGCATCGCATTTTGACAGGCCATGTTTGTTACTGTTATAATTTCCAGATAGATGACAACATAAATACAAAAGCCTCTATTATGTGTAACAAGTTTTCTCTGGCGTCCCATATTTTCAAAAAGCAGTTATAAGAAGTGCAGTTTTATCTCTGGCTCGAGACAAACGCGGCATAGCAAATCGGGGAACTTCTTTTGCCACGGGGGTGAGAGCAGTTTCTGTCGACACCGCCTCATTCACAGCACATCAGCGCGATTATCAGTGTTCAACACAACTCCTGTCAGTGCCTGTCCTCCTACGCGCACACAAACACTCATACGTGCAGATATAAATGCACACATCAAATGCCACCAAAAATAACCTGGCAATGCACCGTGCCCCACTTTTGCAGTGGCGATCCAGTTTAATGAGACAACAAAACACGACATCAATCATCATTACCTCAACAACTCGCTACGCATGTGTTGCTGAAATCCAAGATGTCATGCATGCTTTGATGGGTGTATGTTATTGCATATGTGGCCACGCAAATACACACACAAACAGGTTTATGGATACGTGTTTGGAGAGGTGACTGTCCTGTCGGCACAGGGAGTCACCTGAGTCACCGGACCATCTGTCATTGGCTGTGTCAGAGCTCAGTTCAGAGAAAAGCTTAAGGCAGCAGATTAAAGACACTTAAAAAGCCAGCCGAGTGCTAATAATACTGCATTAAGAGTAGCTCGCCCAGTTGTTAGAAGACTTTTTGTGTATATTGTGTTCTATTCGGTCAGTCACATGTTGACAGATGGAACTGTGTTGAAAAGGACTAAGGATTTAATGAAAATGAAAGCTTTCCATTTTCAGAATACTTGTTACTGTGATGTTGCCACATTCTTTACTATCCAAGTGTACATTGAAATTATCCATTTATATTCTACATTTTTTGCAACTTTGATAACTTTGATCTTGTTTATTTGTGCTCAGAGAGCACATACTTCTGCCAAGACAGGATAGTTCTTTAAACTTATTATTATAACAATGTTAGATATTTTGCTAATTAACGGGACAAAAAATAATAAAAAACATTTTGGCGGATGCAACAACATTCACTAAACAGTAATTGCCAATTACAGTGGTGTATTTGGTCACACATGTCCAGAGGGCCCTGCAGCGGTGAAGCCTAACCTTGTTCATGTGAGCAATTGTCTGTGAAAACAGTAGTGTGTGTGAAAATGGGTGGCTACTGTTTTAAATGCAACTCCTTTATGATTAATAATAATAATAATAATCATGTAGCTATCAAGTGCATATTAAAAATCACTTTTACAGCGTTCTCTATTTTAAAACGGGTCAGCCGAGAGTCAGTCGATGCTTAACTTAGGTTAGTGTAATTAACTAGCTGACAACATCTGATAAATTTCAGCCGGCAAAATTGACAGTTCCTGGTTATAAATGAGAAGTTGCTTTTGTCTACCAATAGCACTGTAACACTTCATATGCATACACATGTGCGAGAATGCAAAGCTCGATGGACATAGCAGCAGTAACGGCACACAGTACACGACCAATTTGCATAAACTAGTACTCTTCGGTTCGGTTCCTTATTAATACTCTTATCGGTTCTTTTTGATTGTATTGTGAGAAAAAAGGCGAGTAAGACAACAATCAATATTACTTTGTCATTCTTATATATATATACAAATAGTCTTTCTTGAGCAGCAAAAAAAGAAGTTCCAAAATCTTTAAAATACATTCACAAAAACAATTGGCTAAGTGATAATTAGCTATTCTTATTATCAAACTCCGTATTGCATCGCTAACGTTACCTGCTTTGGACGAGGATGGACGGCTGCTCGCCAAACAGTGGAAAACTGCATGTCTGCAGATTTTTGTTCTGCTTGCTGGCCAAATGTTGTGATACATTGCTGATACATGCCATTAAAATACTCTTTCAAAAGTCAAAAAAATCCCTGAGTGCAACATCGCTGTCTTTTGCAATGTGTTTATCGGGCAAGTTGATATTGCAATGATGATAAAAAAAACAACAACTATATATTGTGCAGCTCAAATGGAGGTGAAATGGTTGTGAAGTGAAGTACTTTTCGTGTTCCCCGGCACTGATAAAGAGATGACGCACAACAAGTTGAAGATGGGAAAAGAAGGAAATCAAAGGCAACAGAGAATTGTTGTTGCTATAGACTGCGTGTGGCGACAGAAGTATGGGGAGAGCAGATGAAGAGATTTAGATCTTTGAGAAGTTACGAAATGGAGACAGACAACAAGAGTCTTTGTATTTGTGAGTGAGGGCTCCACAGAGAGAAAGAGAACGAGGCAGCAGAGGGACCCGAGCTGCGGTGGGGGATGCTGAGTGACTGACAGGTTGGTTTTCGGTAGAATAGCAGATTCTGTTGTGACTGATAATAAATCTCCCATTTCTTCTAACACATGGGTCATTATTACAAACATAGTGGATACATATCCACTCCACACAATGACTGAAACGCACAAAAACACCTGCATGCACAAATATAAACCACCTCCAGATGTGAGGCTTTCTCCCACATCGTCTTGCTCTTTCTTGAAGGTACCTTCCAGCATGAATAAGTATGAGGAAAGACTTTTATATAACCTCAGCAGTGTGTTCTCCCTCGCCTAGGATCCGTGGAGAGTTAAAGGGAAAGCAGTGGAAGCATCAGTAGACAGAGGCAGTGAGATAGAGCAGCAGGCAAGATCTTAAAAGGAAGGTGTGGCTGTTCTAATGTTTTGACTAACAGTCGCAAATTCCCTTTAAATCCAGTCTGCTGGGTGTTCTGTGCCAGCGGCGGGCTGATGATGATGAGAAAAAAGGAGGAGGAGATGAGAGGAAGAGACCAAAGAAGAAGAAAAGAGAGGAAGCCAGCCAACTACTATTTAAAGCTGGGAGAAAAAAAGATTTAGAGCAAGTTTTGGGGAAAGCTCGGAGGAATAAAGCACACTGATGTGATTTTTATTTACAGAGGCAGGAACATCTTTTCAAGTGCTGTATTTTATAAATATGGCCACAGCTATCTTTTTTTTTTGGTGTTGAGCTTCTTCTTTTTAGCTGTCAGATAAATCTTTAGTTTATATGTTGATCTTGCAATTATAGAAGGAAATGTCAGTTATGTGAAGCCATTATGCCAATCATTTTTCTTTACAGATTGCAGAACAACTGCTGCTATTACATGCTTCCTTCTATGTCTGAATCAGAGTGACAACCACAATGAACATCTGGGCTAAATAGCATCTCAGAGAGAAAGCTAGAGAAAATGTTCAATGTTGATTTCAAAGGAACAGTTTTACATTTTGGAAAAACACATATTTGTGTTATTACAGAGAATTGCGTGAAAAGATACTCCTCATGTCTGTACAGTAAATATGAAGCTACAGACAGACAGCTGTTGTTATAGGACAGCTTCGGAAACATCTAGCTCTCACTGAAGATAACAAAATCCACCTACAAGCATCTCGAAAACTCAATAATTAACACGTTACATCTTATTTGTTTAATCTGTACAACAAGAGACGGGTAAAAACAACAAGTTCTTGTGTTATGGGGGATTATCTGATGGACTATTCCTTGGTTGAAAGCAGTCATTTTCTAAAAGTATAGTCGCCACCATGAGGTGCCAAGCATCAGAGATTTTGTTATCCTTGGACAGAGCCAAGCTAGCTATTTTCCATTGTTTCAATGTTTATGCTAAGCTCTGCTAACTGGCTGTAGCTTCATATTTATCCTACAGATATGAGAGTGATGTCGACCTTCTCATCTAACTCTTGACATAAGAGCAAATGTGTGTATTTCCCAAAATGTCAATTCATTATTCACATCAAAGGTACTTCCTTCTAATTCATAAAATGTGTATATCTAGCCTTATATAGTGCAGTAAAGCATGGTGTCTCGCCCCTTTCCCATTCTTACATTTACAATGGCCTCTTTGGTCTGGGCCATGTCGGAAATGACGCCGTCTGTGATGATGAGGAGCACATAATACTGAGAGCCGTCCTGCACCGCAGCTGCATACCTGCACACACACACAGACACACACAGACACACACAGATGCACTTTGTTTTGTTGTTGTTGTACTTCAGGTTCATTAAAATCCCTCACAAATACCACTATCCAACAAGTTTGATACAAAGCTGCATACTCTGTTTGATTCAGGGATTAACACCTTTGTTAAAATTCTCTTCATACTTGAGTTCTTCCACTCAAATGCTAAATACCAATACTGGTTGTATATTCTCACAGCTATGGTGCCCTGCCACAGTTTAAAAAATGTGACTCCATTTTTTATCAGAATGATGTTTTTAATTACAGCAGAGTGTTGGCGTATCAGATGGAGAATTGTGTGGATATGGATCAAACAATGAGACGGCGAGAGAAGCGGTGACAGTGAGAGGTGGGTGTCGGGGGCACAATAATCTGCTTGGATCATGTCACAGTTTGCATACTTTATTGCATACTTTTGCATTATGTGTTATGATATGTGATATGTCAGTATATTTTAATAGCCTCAGGGCCATGTCAGCTAAATCTGCCACTAGCTGTCAAAATTGTCCTATTTAAGTATGTTACATCCTGTCTAATAGAAGATCATATTCTTGATAAACTGTATGCTATCATTGTGGCTGAACAGAATTCTGATCATAAACATCCATTATATCATTGTCAGGTTTGTTGGAAAAGTTTTGGACAATGTCTCCTGCTCTCTGCATGAAAACAGACAGACTTATAAAATATGTTTTTGAGAAAATCTGTGCAGGAGTCACTGTTTTTGATAATAATTTCATATCCATGAAAGTACGAGTAAAAATAAATTTTCCAAGACCCTTATTGATTCTTTGGTATAACAATAAACCTGACAAATGCAAGGGAGTGGTCTTGTTCTATGTAGTCGTGTCCCTGTTGCTTTGGCTCTTTAATAGGAGCTGCATTGTTCTCTCACCTGGCAACATGATTCACCACAGGAGCGAAGTTAGTTGGCCCGTACAGCTGAACTGTCTTCAGACTCTGGTGGTATGCCTCTAAGATGCCCTCAATACCATTGCAGTATGGATTTTCCATGTCTCCATTCTGAGAAGGAGAGAAACTGTGAAATTCAATTTCATGGACTTGGTGAATGCATTTATCAAACCCCAAGATCTTTATCGAAGTACACTGTTTTCATTAGATTTCATTAAATTGGTTCTCGTAAACCAGGTCATGCTCAAAATCCATAATGTAGAGTAAACACAATAAATTAGAGCGACTATTCAGTGGCATGCTTTTGGAAGTTGAAAATAAAAAGCATGAAATGGACTTGATAAAGATCCATTGAACTGATGAATCAAAGGTGATAGAAGGAGAGGTAGACTTCACCAGTGGAAACTCGTGTGAAACCCGTCCATCAGGGGGCAGTTTGGCTCCAAAGCCCAAAGCGGGGAACATCTTGTCACTGTCATAGTCCTGAATGATCTCCCCAACAGCCCTCAGGGCCATGGCGTAGGCGTTCAGCTGGTAGGGGTTCATGTAGTGCAGCGAAGTGGATTGGGACGGATTGCCTGTTGACCAATCAATCAATCTCACGGTCATTGTGGGTATTGAGGGACAAAGATGTCACTTCTAGAATGCAAGATAGTGTTTGTGTGCAATGGTATGACAATAAAAAAAAGCTTTTGTTTGCTGCAGCCATGGATCTCAATTACCTTGATTCCTCTACGGTAGAGCTTTCACATTAAGTCTTCAGAGATGATGAATCATGTCTTTAAATTCAGAAGTTTGTGACACAATGAAGGCCAAACCATTGACAAACAGTGGGAGGAAACCCATTGTGAAGCTGATTGCTAAGCTGTTATTATTAGCTGTTCGGGGGAGGAATTTAGCAATAATTGTTTGGGGAATTAAAATTTTCGTCTAATAACTATGAGTCACACTAAAGAGCTCTTCCTTGCGGATACACGTTTTGGAGCGCTGTGCGTTCAGGCATTATTAATGGCATAAGTAGTGTAATTAGTCTTAAGTGTGGTCCTTTCACGACAAGCTGATGGTTTCTTTACCCCACGTGCTTCATTTCATTCGTAGCTAAAATGCCTGCTATAACCTTTATGTAGAGTGTATTGACAGAGCATCTAGGAGGGCGAGGTATCCAGGAAAGGCTATCACTTAGAGTGACAATGTGTGTACAGTATGTGCACCATCTGTTTGATCCTTAGATCGGACATGCCACAGTCAAAGAGCACTACTATCTATTCTTGCCTCCCCATCCACACACTCACACTTTGCCATTCGTATCACTCACCATTAGATGCTGTGAAATCGATGGCCACAGTGAAATTGATCTGTGTCCTACAAGAGGGATGGAGAGGAGGACATGGGGAAAAAAAAATCAACGACAGAGACCAGCCAGCAATAATAACAAGCCAAGCCTCATTAAATGCTCTCTCACACACACACACACACACACACACACACACACACACACACACACACACACACGTATGATAAAAGATGATACCTAGAGGAAGGAACATCATACAAAAAAAGCCAACTATTTTTGTTATCATATACTTTCAAACACATCAATTATTTAATTGCCTTTTGGGTTTTCTTTATGCGTCAAGACACAATAGTGCAGTTGCTCAGTTGTCAAATAAGATTACACTTTTAACTGTTTGTCACCTCCCTTGAGAAGGCGTAGTCTCCTTTGAGACATTGAGCTGGGTAACAAGCAATTGATGGAGCACTTAATATCAAATCATAACCCGGGTTCTCTGCTGATGAAGCACTTGCCTCTTCTTGCTAATTTACGACATTGAGACAAGGCCTTTGGGGGCCTTAATGACAGCCTCCTATTATCTATGAGAGCCATCGAAGAGGAAGGCCAAAGAATAATAAAAAGATTCACATTAACCTTTCAGTGTGGTGTGAGGACAAAGAATATGCAACAGCCTGACCCTGCTAATCTTATCACTGATTACACTTAATTGGTTGTCACAAGATCACCTGAGGATTGCGGCATTACATATCACACGAAAATCCTTATTGTCATGCTTCAAGTAATGCGTTTGCTTCCGGTTAGCCAGAGCACGGACAAATCGGCGTCCTGTGAGGAGAAACTGGCGAGTGTGCGAGACGACGCACACAAAGTTTGTTCTAAACAACATTGGCAGTTCCCGAAGAAGTAAGCGTATGCTACAACAGTGTCAGTTGGGAGTATTTTTTTGAAAATTGCCAGGCCTTCTCACATGGTTCTGTGTAACAAACCATGTGGCGAGTCCATGATCTCAATGAATTGACATCATGATTCTCTACGATCATTATAGTCCAAGCATAACATGCCCTCTCATTCCTTAAGTCTTCCCAGTGCTGCACCCTTGGAGACGAACGTTTGAGTTATTTGAATAGCCACATTTTTCTTGTCAAATGAGACAAAACATCTGCCAGAGTTCCCTTTGCATCACGATGAAAGGTGTAGCAGAAAAGTGCTTTAACGGCTAGTTTAGAAATGTCATGTAGACATTTTATGTGTTCTTTCTCAGATGTTAATGCTGCAAAGTGCTTGGTCAGTTTAACTTTCTCAACTTTCATCCATTTACTTGATATTCACAGGTCAACCTCACGCTCTTACACTAAACAGAGGGGGAAGGGTTGTACCTGCAGTGAAGACAGTTTAGCCTGAGCTGGCAAATTTACAATATATTTGGCACATTATTACTACAGACAGCACCGACTGTGAAATGTATATATGGTGCCACTACATGAAATATAAGGGGATAGAGATAAATGCATTTTAATACAATTTTAATGAAGACTCTAGAATATATATTATACTTGTCATTATCAGTAATGTATTATCAATTTAAGTTTCTATAATCGGTTGTATTTTTTTTTTTTTTTTTTTACAATGTCCTTTCATGTGAATAATGTAAAGGGGTTCTCTGAACTCTGCGTTTTAGCATGTTTCAGCTCATGGTTTAGGTTCTACAGCTTTTAGGTTGTTTCCAGCAAGCAGTTGTTTTCCGTAAAAAGCTCTGATAGACCCACTGTGTGCTACCTGCCTAGCACCAAACGGCAGGCAGGCAACGTTGGCGACTACCTGTGTTGCATTTAGCAGCTAAAGAACCACATGTTTTTTTGGTAACCTGTGCAGAGCAAAATAGAGCTGAAAGAAGACGGAACATTTGCAATGCCGCCAGAAACACCGCTCCAATACTAATGTTGCTCAGTGTGTATTGAATGTGTAAACAGGCAATAGTTTGCTAACATGCTCGCCATAACAACTTATCATAAAGTAATATTTACATGTTGCGCTGATCCCAAGTCGCAATGAATGAAGGTTAAAGCAAATAGATATAATCCTCAATACCCCATGAAATGGACAATTTAACTGCATGCAAGCCATCAAATCGGACCACTGCCTTGTCAAATCAACCCTAATTTCTCTCCCTAACTGATATACAGTACCATTGGCTTACACTTGAAAATGAAATCTGCACTACTTTGTGTTTAACCTCATTGTTTGTTTATAACAGGAATTGCAAAGAGGCCATTTCTTTCTTTAAGTATGCAGAAAGTCATTCCAACTCACCCGCCTTTGATGTAATCTAAGAAAGTGAACTCTGACTCCACCGAGAACGAGAGCAGTGTCACCTGGAATTAAAGACAAGGAGAAACTTTTGATTAAACATGGTGGTAAGGATCTTTTCTTACTAAATTAATAAAAAAAAACCTCCACAGAACGTTGTGGATCTGCACTTGACACTCAATTTAGTAAAAGATGTGAACCGTGTGGTTTCGGTTGACGGATTCATTTACATTGCCAAAGGACAAGTTTGAAGAGAGGATGAGATGCATTTGTCGGCATTACGTGCAGATGCCCACACTGCTGTGTAAGTGGTGTGAAAATTGGTGTCTGAATTGGTCGTTTGTGTCGCTCAGTCTGATCTTGCAGATATCAAAGTATGTCCTTCGTATAGCCCCTTCATCTTTTATTTTGTCCCACCAAAATACTTTACAGCTACATCTTGCACTATCACTATATACTGTGTAGTATGTAATGGATCATATGTTTGTGTACAGCAAACGCAAATACACACATATATGAAGATTAAGTAAGTTATTTAACTTGAGCTGGATTTCAAAACTATAGCTGAATCAACAAAGCTTATTTTTCTGCTTTTTACCAAATGTTTTAATTAATTGGCATGTATGTGAATTAATTAAGAAATGTACGTCTCCTTTTTTCACAACATATAGAAAGCACAGATTGACGCCAAAACCCGCGTGATAATTAAAGAGGGATTCATTTAACAGAAGAGAAGTATGTGAACCACAAAAAAGAGACACAGTCTCAGTCCTGGTTTGCTGCTGGAGCCATACTTACTGTCCCAGAGTTGACATATTTCTTTTTCTTCATTTTCTTCTTGGCATTAATCACCTAAAAAACAAGAGGTACAGGTATTCTAAAATGAAGATATTTTGGCCACAATTTAGGCAAAAAAAAAAAAGCGTAGAATTAACTTTGTGGCTTTTAAGCAAAAATATAACCATATAGTATTTGACATGATTATTTAATATACAAGATGGGCATTATTCACATAAATACATAAAATACAAATGACTATATCTACACGCACCGTATATAGGTGTGTAAATCAGTGTCCGTAATACAATATTTGAAATATTTTAGTTTTTGCCAAAAATGGTTACAAAATCTTACAATAAACAAGTATCTAAAATATGTATTTAAATAACCTCACCTAATAATTTAACAGGTATGTGAAAAAACAATTTTAAAATTCCATCTAAAACAAACCTGTCAAATTTCCCAAGCTAGTCTCTTCAGCTCTTCAGCCTATTCTAATGAGCCTGCATGTGACATTGGAAGGGGAACTGAATCTGAATGGCTTGTTTGTGGGTTGGTAGGCACACCAGTTACCCAAATGTTTGTGCATAAGCACTGAAAAAGTTAATGATATGACCCCTTCAAGGAACGTGCGAAGGTGAGGTTGTGTGTGCACTATAGGTAACGGTATATGTGTATTAGAGGAAATTGTAGCTCATGTAAGAAAATAGAAACACTTCACCTTGAATATCTTCTACACGTCAATCACACAATTACAGGGGACACGTTTGGACATTCAAACACAAACCTGAGGCAACAAGAATCAATGGATGAAACAAACTGCAAGACTTAAATGTACTGTACCGGTATTCCCCCAGCCCCAGAACAAGAGAGAAATGTCAATCCGGAGACCAAAGACGCCTCAGCTCATTACCTCGATCCTCTATGGCTGCTAGGCATGAAAGTGACAGCCCCTAATTTAACATGGAGGGATGGCAATTTGTCTGACACACTAAACAATCTGCTGATGCAAAAACGAAAGGGCCTTTCAGTCTCACTGGGAGGTAGAGAGGAATCAAGCGTAGCGTATAATGGAGCTGACATCCAAAAGACAGGTATTTGTCCTTCGACTGGAGGCCACCACAGAAGCCTAAAGCAATTAACATGTCCTCCTTTATGGTGAGATTTTGACTTTCAAATGTTTTTATTTTTGCTTTTTTGCTTTTAACAAAGGGTTATGTTCAATGGTAGCCTTCATTCTCAATCTAACAGTAGCATATATTCTGCTCTTGACAAAATAAATTGTGATTTTACACAGGACACATCTGTCATTTCCAGGCCTTGCCGATCACCCTTGGATTCTGGGACCAGAGTTGGATTTGTAATTTGCATACAAAGCTGCATTGTGTGCTGTTAAGGGACATGTTAAGCTATCCCATGAGAAGTACTGAGAAATAGCTATTATAACACTAAATCCCCGGATTGTTTTTCCATTTATCCTGTTTCACACTGCTGCTAATAGCTCCTTTTCCTTGTGTGTCAGTGTGCAGCTCATTATAGTTTCAAAATAAATCTAATAACAAAAAAGGATTTGTGCAGAAGAAATATTTAATTGCATGTTTAACCATAAATGAATTAGGAATGTGAGGAAGAACTTTTACGTGATGTTTTTTGTAACTGTTGACTAAATGCATTGGTTTGCCGCAGGGTTAGAAGATGGAGAGGAATGCGCTAGAGTAATGGAAAACAGTGCAACAGTGATGTCAGAGATAGAAATGTCACTCGTGTCAGAAATGGGATCCAAGACGACGCACTGCGTGGAGAGATTCCAGATCTCAGGAGCCAACAGACAATGTGAAAACACTGGCATTACTCACCTCGTAGACATTAAACTGGCTCTGCCCCCGAGCTAGCTCTCGGTAGCTGGTTGTAAAATCCCCAATGAAGTCATGGCTGGGAAGAGGAATAAAAGGAGACAACACAAATGAGTAGGAAAAAAATGACAGGTACAAATAACAGGATGGATGTCAGGAAGGAAATGATCGGTTCCTATGGTAAATATTTCTGAAAACAGTAAACTTGGCTTAAGTTTGAGTTAATTTTTTCTGCAATCACACTCACCTGCCATCCCTATCCCAATCGTACACCTCCACCTTGATAGTTCTGGGAAAGATAACAACACACACACACACACACAAAAACACACACACAATCAGGTTAGATTTTAAAGCGGCATGGCAGATGGTAAACAATCCTACAAGGTCTATTCAGTAGCACGTTCTGGAGCTTTCAATCACACCAGTCAAGCATGGATGTGCCATCCATCAAAAATGAACTAATTCAAACAAGATGGGCAGAAAATATTCTGAGACGATGTATGTCTGCTTCAAAATGATCCCCCCACAGCTTTAGTAGAGGTCAAATGGTTCCTCTTAAATATTGTTTGACATTCGTTGACTCGCTTGATGTAGGAATGCTGTCTTAACAGATAGAAATTAAAAGAAAAACATACTTTGGAGGCCGACATGTAACATTGTCAGATAATTTAGGGAAGACAGTACATGTCTGATTAGGTGCCACAGTTCCATCCTGCTGGGGAAAAGTAACCTCTCTCCTCAGCAACAACTTCATTAGCTGCATTAACGCTTTTATAATTAACAAAGACATGGAGACAGCAGCCACGAGTGTGTGTTTATTGTTTCATGCCAACTTTGAGCCTTTGTACCACTCAATAATATCATTATTGAGTGGTACAAGGAAAAGTGTATTCATGTATTTACCTAAAAGAGATTGTTGTTCAGTTTGGTGTTTGAATGACTGAATGATTCAATGGGTTCACTGGATCCAAAAGCTACTACGTGGAACTTTCATTATGTGTTGATTTTGATAGTCCCAATGGATGAAGGCGGTAGTTTTTCTCCTGGCCAGAGGAGCCGCTGAGGAGCCGCTGAGGAGCCGCTGAGGAGCCGCAGAGGAGCCGCTGAGGAGCCGCTGTTGTTGAGCCACTGTAGAGAGTCTAAGCTGGAGGAGTTTCTGGTGAACCTGCATGATTTTGTCTGATTTTGCACGGAATCCAACCCGGTGGCACCGATGACGAGCATTAAGATTAACAATATAAAAATAGCCAATATTTTCGCTGAATGTCTCATTTACTTATGTAGGTCATAGAGCCATCAGTATTAAATTGAGATTGAAATGTCATAACCTGTTAAAAGTTCCCTCACAGTAACTTTAAGTAATTATCGGTCTATTTAAAACATAGCTATTTTTAAATATTATACTAGAGCTCATTGATATATTTTCATTGAAAAGTAAGTGTTTTGAATTGGTGCCATGGGAACCCTGAAATTGATTAAAATTGATGTCACTTGGTTTTCAAACTGGGATATTTGCCAGCTTTATAAAAGGCTGAGCAGCTGGTTGCACATTAAAAGAGGAAAAAGTCAACTTGTGTAAATCGTAGCTTGCAAACTGCAGCACGTGTTATCTTCCAGCCTTCACAAGAACATCAGAAAAAAGACACTGATGACATTTTGCACAAATGCAGCTGAAACAATGTCCCTGCAGAGTGCAGAAAAAAACTGTTGTTTGCCACTTTCACTCCTGAGTCACATTGATCTCACCCCCATGTCTCCCCTCTCCTCCCCACTTCGTCTTTCACATGTACTGACACCAGCCCAGATCCAAAGAAAATGGAAGCAAGCGGCACATCAGAGACTGTTTCCCCGTCAATGAGGAAATGAAAGATGCCTGAAATAAGCACAACTTCCTCCCTGCCACCTGTCATTCTGTGGTAACAGTTTGTTCTTTTGAGGTTATCTTCAAGGCTGTGAGAGAAAAAAATGTGCAGGTGGAGGAAACATGATGCTTCTCTTCCAACGTGGAAAAAGAGGGAATAGGTATATGGGTGCAGAAAGCCAGTTTTCCCTTACCGTGACCAATCCATCTGCACTGCAAGTGGTTTGGTACTCAAAGTACCAGGAAGCTGTCATCGTACCGACTCCAGCATGTACCATCATTTTATTTCATATGCTTACTTACAGCTACATCAAAAGACTCAGATAATTGAGTGGCCCCTTGAATTCTCAGAACAATATACACTCCAAAACTAATCTGCCACAGATATCCTCAGCTATTATTTTAAGGCACCTTTAATAAACATGACTCATCTTCCGTAATAGACCCGCATATAATTAAGGGGAAAAAGGAGACTGCATTTGACACGGAACTATTTTTCAGCTCCAATGACGGATCTCTTTGATCTTTTGCCGGAGACGGAAATAGACTACGCTTGAGTCACCTGAGCTGGCATGCTACCGAGAAAGAACTGATCCTTGTTTTTAATGAATTATCGGCATAGGAATACATACCTTACGTACCACCTACACAGAAGAAACACAGCATAGAGGTAGGTTTGAACGATGCATACATACAGTAAAGAGATGAATAATGGAAATTTAGATTTCTGTTATTCAACAAGTTGGTCTTTCTTCACACTCCCTCATCCTCCTTAACTCACTCGTCTGGAACAGAGCCTTTGATGTATTGGATTTCTGTTTTTTCTTTGGTTCCACTGCAAGTATATCTGCCTTTGCTGTCTGTCATCAGTTTTTCTCTCCTCTCCTTCATTTCTCCTCCTGTCCTCCCTTATCCCTTTCCCTACTTTGCTTTCCTTCCTTCTAATTCCCTTTTCTTTGCCAAAATGTAGTCTTCCAGAGCTGTGTGTGTGGCTGTGTGTGTGTGTGTGTGTGTGTGTGGCTGTGTGTGTGTGTGTGTGTGTGTGTGTGTGTGTGTGGGGAGAGATGGATTTTGCTCGCTGTCACTAGAGACTCAACTGGATCCTGCCACTTGAAGGACAGTCTGCCTAATCAGTGCGCCACCCAGTCGCCAGCCAACACATTTGGAAGGTGGAGTGTTTTTTATCCTTGACTGTGTTTGCAAGATATTCTAAAAGGTTATCAACGGATTACTGATTAAAATATGGTAGACGGATAGCCCTTGGCGAATCTGGCGATGATTCAGATCTGGGATTTATGGGTGTTGTTTCTAACAAGCAACACTTTAACATTGATAGATTTTATACAGCAACAATTGTGCTCGGTCCAGTAGTTTTTAGCCTTTGTTCAGGGTTGCTGCACATTGTTATACTTCGCAGAACAATTTAACATCATAGATGTATTTTTTCACCAACAAAAAAATGTTATTACCCAAATCCTGTTCTTTGTAAAAGTGGTTGTTAGGGATGCACTGGTCCCGATACACAAAAACTTGTATTGTACAGATACAATCTAAAATGTATATCCTTACTCTTTGGGATCATTTTATGTGCAGTGAGTGTTAAATGAGGCTGTAACTAGGCTTCACTTAACTAAAAGAGGAGAGAATACCTTTATTCCAAGATGACAATATGATTATTATGGGAATGATATTGTTCTTGATGATGTGTAACATTGTCTTGTTACTGTAAAATTGTCAAGTAACTGTATTTAATAGGAATTGGTCATGCCTCAGGTGCCAATGTGCTGTATTGGATCGATAGATTGGTCATAGCGTTTGGATACCTGCTCCTTAAGTTGCCAGGTTGTATACGACAAATGCGCAGGGAATGTTTTGTTTTTTATTTGCTTATACGGCAGCAGTCCAGTCAGACCACCACACCTAAATCATTGCTGTCAAAGAAACGTTTTCAAATGTGTTGAGAAGTCTAACTATTTTCCAATGAGTGAAGGACTTGACTTGGAAACAGGTTTGGATGCACGTTCTTGTTTTTGTAACAGCACTTTACTTCAGGCACAAAAAACTGAACATGCAGCGTTTCACTGACCTTAAACAAATGTGAATGGACGAGGCAGATGGTCTGCCAAAATGCAGAGTGCAGCTGTCAATGAGATCTCTACATCCACATCCCATGTGTAACATCCTCTGACTTGAGAGTTTGAAAAAGAGTTTCTTTAGAATAGTTCCATGTATACTGGTCTGAAGTGCCTCCCACATAATGAAAGGAATACAATAAAAAATGGATCCCACATTTGTAGCCTATCAGAGTTAATTGCATTTTGCTCCAGCAGGAAGAATAGAGTGCAGCACTATTTGCAGGTGTTCCAGTGCTTACTGTCGATCGAGAGAGACTTATCTAGTTAGAGAACAGTAAATCAGCAGTAGGTCTCACTCTCAACTCTCAACTCCAAGACAGAGGTGCTTCGATGCCTTTTCAACATGTGCTGGCGTGAGAGAGAGTATAGAGTGAGTACCAACTCAGATAACGAGTAGTCACTGCCTCTCCACCTGGATACAACAGCAATAAACATAGCAATGTTTCCTATACAAGTCATCTGCATCTTGTGCAACTCTTGGTATTTATTTAACTTCATGTATTTATTCAACCATTTTTTAGACATGGTGCTCCATTTGAGTTTTAAGGTCTCTTTTTCAAAGGGGTCCTGGCCAAGATGGCAGCATACAAGATTCACTTATAAAAGCACACATAAAAGACTAAAGATTAAAAATCTTTTTTTGAAAAAGGCTTCACCAAGTTGGCAGTGTCATTCAGTACCAGGACAAATACAGTCGGTGTTAAAATAGTTCTAAATCTGGTAAATTTCTAAAATAACAGAGTTTAAAGCGTTTCTGTAGCTCATACCAAGAGTATGGTGCAAAAACTCTAAAAGCGCCTCAAGAAATGATGTTCAGAACTTGTCCATATGATCAAAGGTTGTAGCCACTGATAGTTTTGGGAGTCACTAGAGAACATAAGGAGGCAGTTTGTGCAATATGGCAGAAAAATGTACCAATGTACCATAACGATAAGGAGGACAAACCAACTTTCACAAACAAACTGGACCTTCTGCAGACCTCCAGACCGACTTTGCTTAATTATTTTTAATATGTTTGTTATGATCTGCAAAGTTAGTTAGGGGTTGGTTTCCATCCATCTACAAAGTGACGATTCTCATTTTAGAGTTTAATAGGAATATAACATTAGCAGTATTGAACACCACGCACTCTTCACACCAACCATACTTTTTATACAATGTAAACTATGTATCTTGCATAAGTTGTCTATCAATACAGTGAAGAACCACTTAGAAAAATCAAGGTCTTAAGTTACGTCATATAGCGCTTTTTTTTTTTCTTGACATAATGATGGAGAGCATGTCACAATATGTATGATAGGAGTCTGTGAGAGTGTAAATGAGTCCTGCAGTGGACCAAGAGGACAAAAGGAAACAATATTGTTGCACGGCGGTCTTAGCTCTCTAACTCGTTTAAACATAGACTTTTGATTCATGTAATATAAATTGGTCTGAACTGATTAGACATATATTTTTAGGGTACCACATTAGCACTTTTCCAATCACTGAAAGCACTCCATCAGTTGATGGATGTAAACAATAATTACAGACATAAAAAAAACTGTCAGCTTGGATGATAATGTGCCATCGCAGAGGTTGAAAAAAATCTATTTATATGGGTCCTAAGACATAATTAAAAAGAGACACACACCTTCCCACTCACCCCAAACACAAAAACACTGGTGCAAAGTTTATTCCTCACCCACGCACAAGTATAAAACCTGTTTATAGTGTTGTCTTTGGTGATATTTCAAGACTTCTTCAGCTCGTGGCTTGTCACTTCATATTATACTAAGATGTGTGCGTGTGGTTGTGTGTGCGCTCACATGCTATGGCACAGGAAAGAAGTGTATTTGATGCCCTGCTCAGTTCCTTGTGCATGATTGGCTCTGACTGGACAGTGAGCCCTTCTTGAGCTTGCGTGTGATTGGCTGGCTCACTCAAATTCAGCTTATATTTCCCAAGTATCAAATACTTCTTGAGACAACCCAAACAATATTCCTGTTCTCGTCTGTCTGTTTGGGAATTCTCTCAGCTTTCTGAGCACACACCAGGTTCTCAGCACTGTCAGCAATTAGGGTTTGACTGCATACAAAGATGATAGGACAGACACCTTTGTGGGAGAGGTGAGAGAAGGGGGAGAAGCAGAAAAAAGACACGGTATGCCACATGAAATATTTCCCCTCACATAAGTAATCTGTCTGTCATTCCTTTTTCATCTTCCCTCACAGCATGATTTAGCTTGTTTTCTTCCCAGCACCGTGTTTTAAATTAGAGGCAGGCAGATAAGCTGGGGGAGAACTGAATTCATATCCCCTCTGACACAACATGTCTACATTAATTATGTGGCAACTGGGAAAAGCAACCCCTTATTATTTTCAAATATGTATTCAGTAATGTGGTCAGAGTTTTCGAAGTATAAAAGCAAAGCAATAATAAATGGACCAAATTATAGGCTGCTAAGGGTATTAAATGTTTTTGCTGCCATATTCCCTCATATCATCTTTTTTCTAATATTGTTTGTTTTGCACTCCTAACATTAATTATCTGACCAATTCTTCGTAATTTTTGAAACAGCGGGTCATTTTTTCATTCCGAGGTCGACACCAGCAAGCTTCTCGTGTCGGGCCTGCAGCCTTTGATTTTGCTGAAATGAAAACTGTCACAAGTAGCTAGTTAACTAAGCTAACTATAGCTCCATGAGACGTTTGACATCGCTGTCTACAACTGATTTATTTTAAAAGGACAATCTTGTCAACGGGTTTTAAAGATGTAATGCTTGGCTACAGATGGTATAATACTAAAGACTGAGGCTAAAGCTCCAGTTTAAAAGTCAGCATCCTCATCAGTTGATGATCTATGGAAATGGAGATGAACATTGTTCTTGTCGTTTCCATGAAGAGCTTGTTCGTACTAACTTCATAGATGACAGGGAAACATATTTTTATCTGGATTACAGTTGCTGTTTTAAACTGTGTAAATTGAACTGGCTTCCCCTCTTTGCGGACTTCCGCAGACTCATTTGAAATGTATTTGTGGTACATCAAAAGCGAATGTAATTTGTTGGAGACATGGCTATCTGGACATGCCAACTTTTGCGGCCTATAACTAATTGTAAGTGTTATAATAGTACATTTATGTGGCTCAGAGATTACATCTGAGGAGAACAGTGTTAATAACAGAAACACCACAAGGAGGTCGTTGAAGATTAGAGAGGCTCATTGCGCCTGACTCGTACTTCTCTAGCAAAGATCGATACTAAGGGATGTCCTAAGCGCACAGTAGCAGAAATAATGTGACAGTAGAAAGAATTGGAGGCTTAACACTGCACCATGTTGAATTGATTTCCGCTGGTTAAACTTATTGTCGCACAGGGTGTAGTCATGCCTGCCATCATTATGCAGTTTGTCAGTCAGAGCGACTTTCATTACAGCCATGAATGCAGTTGATAGATTGAGAAAACAGAAACCAATGAAGGCAGAATATGTCAATGAGTTCAACATTCAAGGTGTGTGCAAGTTTTACCTGTGTGTGTGTGTATGTGTGTGTGATAAGGTAAATATTGAGGGGATCAATGCATCAGCAAGGAAAAGGCAACCAGATGTGGGGATCAGAAGGTGTAAAGAACAGGCGGAGGTTGTGTTGTACCTGTCGTAGTCTCCATTGCAGAGCGCTCGTACTGGGATAGTGAAAGGCTGCCACACTGGATTTAATGTGTTCTTCACCACCTCTGTTTTATGGCAGATAGTAAACCTAGAGCAGGAGGGAAGTTAGGAAACAATATGTTCAAAAAGAGGCAGAGAAAATAATCATATTAATATTTGTTAATTACACAAGCCAGGTAGAGAGCTAAATATGCAAATAAGGGGAGGATCAGGCAACTGAAGAGACAGAGGTAACAGGAAAGACAATGTCAAATTCTACAGTGACGAGAGAGATGCTTTAAATAGGGCTGTACCGAGCTTTGTTTACCGCTTGGCCTGTCTCCCAGCTATATTGGGTTTTGGACCACAGAGAATAATTTGATATTTCAGTCTGGCTTTTAAATCCTTTCCCTTGACCTCAAGTATGACAATGATATGTAAATGGGTTTCTCTGATATCCAAAATGCTTTGCAGAGTAGAGCCACATAAATTCCTATCAAATACCCCCCCTCCCCAAATACCCTTTGGAAAAGCAACAAGGCAAAGCCTTGGATTACTTGTGCTCCACAAAGTGCCTTGAGCCTTTTAAAACCGTGTTAGTCCTGTAGCTGCACAGGCCTCTAATTTGTAACCCCCTCTGGCACCAACACCAGATACTTGTAGCACATTTGTGGGTATCCATTTCCCACCCTGTTATGGATAAAAAAAAAATACTGAGAAAAGCTGGAAGACGGCTAATGAAGCACTTGCTAAAGAATCTCCGGATAGATAGAGCTGACGCTGCTGCAACTGCACGGCCCCTTGGGGGAGGCTGCGCAGCACTCTGGGAAGGCGTGAGGAAACAGGGGAGTGCACCACTATGTGACAGCGCATTTCCTACGTATGGAAAAATGCAAATTGTGTTTTGTTATTCTTGCTTTTATGATTTTGAATTTTTTTCTTTTTTTTTTTTAGATTAATTGCCTCTCTTTCCATTTCGCTCTCCTTGAGTCATTTAAGAAAGGCATAGTCGTGGGAGTTGTGTTGTGATGTGAACAGGATACATGCCTCTGTATGCAGCCTCTTAAGTTGTGCATGCCTCAGTAACCACTGCAGCTCTATTCTCATACTGTACATATACTTATCATCCCTCTCTACTGTATCTCCTCTAATGATACCCCTCTTTTTCCCTCCCACTCTTCCCCAGATGATTTCCATAATATCTCTCTAACTTTTATGATATTAGGATACTAGCACTTGCAGCTGCCTTGAAAAAAAAAAACTTGAAAAGAAAAACATCACATCAAGCACTCACGTTCCGTCCTCGTTGCTTCTATAGAAGACCATGAAAGGGTCCGACTTGCCAAAGAAGTCCTTCTTGTCTAGCTTGTTGGCACAGAACTGCATTGTGGCGCTGTCCTGCAGGGATGCATGGAGATGTGGGGAGAGAAGTGTGAGATAGGGTTGGGGGAGGGTATGTCATAACTTCTTCATGATAAAAGAATGTAAGGTATTATTTATGTGGCCTATTTTGTCTTCTTCCAGGCTTATAGTGGGACAACAGATGGAGGAAGCTTTCTGTGCATCACACAATAGGACAGTGTATACTGCATGAATACTGTAATCTGTTATGCGTGTATGAGTGTGTGTTTATCCTTATTTGTATTCCTTGGCACATTGTGAATCTTGTCACAAGGTAATGCAAAATGTTCAAAGTTAAGGACCATAACTGTTAATGAACATGATTAGGTAGAAGACATACAATGAATGTTCAGTTGGCTGATTATTTCAATCTTTTTTTGTCAACATGTCACATCACAGCCATCATGTTTCATCAGCTAACTGCTGGAGATGAGCACAATTAGTTTCAGCAGGGGTGTAAGACTAGTAGGACTCCATGTCCTGCCAAGTAGATGCTCACACACAAGCACACAGAGAGTGTTCAACAACACCTCATACAAATACCCACACATGTATACACAGCCACCGGAAAGAACGGTTCGGAGAACTATTTTATGAATCACGTTACACAAAGGAAAAATGCTCCTTTCTCATTTGTATGAGGATGTACATATATGACTTTATTGTTTTAGTCTGTGTCGTGTGAATGTCACCTGCTTCCACTCTATGAACTACTGGCAGTCAGCCTGCCATACACTCTAGCTTTATCTATAATCATGTGTTCAAGTATGCAGGCATTGTAATACCGAACCATAGTACTGTGTCCACCCACCTGCTAATAGTGCCAGCTGCTTACCAAGTCTAATTCTAGCATGAGTAATAGTCATCAAGCTAACTTCTTCTGATATCTGTCACAACATCTGGAAAGCATCACATGCATCAAGTATATTTCAACCTCAGAGAAACATCAAACTCAAAGCACAGTTTCTGCTTCGGGCTTTGTATTTTTTATTTATTTTTTGCTTCTTGTTTCAACTAAACACACGATGATAAATGATACATTATGTTGTTCTCATAATGTAGGTAAAATATCATAGAACCTGAGATAACCTCTTTTTCTATTGCACCCATTCTTCTTCCTTGTGAAAATATGTCAGTTTGGTGAGAAATGCGGTTGTTCAACGTATCCTTATACAATGGGTTTGTATGATATTTGCGGTCTTACTTATTCGTTCATGATCACATCCATAACATAGAAAATGACTTTGTGGGATACCTACGAATTACAGCTCATTATTTTTCGTAGGTTTCGCAACGAATGGATGAGATCAACTCCAAATCACCAGAATTGTTTTCGTTTCCAAACTTTTAGTTTTCAGCCCTGACTGATGCCGACTCAAGTGACAATTTATTTACAACCAAAGACTTGTTAAATTCAGTTTTTGAAAGCATAAGCAAGCAGCCTTTAGCCTAGTTTATCATTGTGTTTTCCTTTGACAACAGCATGCTCCTTCTCTGCTACTCAGAAAAAGCCCTTTACATGACCACATTCTATCAGAACTATGCATGATGATTGCAGTTACAAACGGCAGATCCGATTTTTCACATTTAACCACTAGAATTGGATTGTACCATTTCCATTAGCTTGGCAACAATTAATCAGTCAACAAAATTGTTTACGCACATTGGTGTATTTATATGAAGAATTAATTGTGTCTGAAGGTGACTCTTGGATTCAAAAGATGAACTCACAGAGACCATACAAATGTTATATATATTTACCTTCAAATGAATCAAAGGCCAGCAACAGATGCTGGGACATTAATACTCGCTGCAATCCAACTCTTAATCATTCTCCTTAGTACGCCCTCTTTCTAACACAAATAAGCCTGATAGTGCATTTTCTCCCCCAGTGGTTTATCATGAAATGTAGCGCTTTCAACAACCCCAAATATAAATCACTTGGCTGCTGTTGAGGCTTTTACTACTTGTTTACTATTACCCCTCGCTGTTCTTGGCTCTCCTTGTGTGGTGGGAGTGCAGGGATAGTGCGACTTATCTGTGGCGTATGGACTGTGGCTAATCTCTGAAACACAGTGGGTTCATTACAGTATGTTCAAATGCTACAACAGTAGATTGCGGTTGCTTTCAGGGCTCGAGGCCGTACACTGGGTAGCCATGGTGCCACTAATGATAGCTTAATAGCTTTTTAATGTTGCAGCTTGCACCTTGTGTGCTGGCTGAGGGCCGCGTGGCCAATCACCAAGAGAATGTGTGCGAGGTTGTGAGCGTTACAGACTGTGTGAGAGAGTGAGAGCAGGAGTGTTTCCGTGCACATGTTCCGATGCCCATTTAAATTCCTGTATGCATCTAACCACAGGACCCTCGCTGTGGCTTTATCGCACACAGCCAGGCACCAAGCAGCACACACTTCCCTCTGACACACTCATGATCACATCCACTCCACGCCGGCAGCGAGAGCAACTTTATCTGTATTCCTGCTCTCACCCCGAGGACACACACACACTCACACACACACTCACACACACCACATGTCTGCCGTTTGACCCATCCCTCCTACACATAGACTCACCCCGTTTCATTCTCTTAGAAACATTCTTTTGCTCCTGGGGAATGTTGGCAGTCATGATTGACACACAAGCAGTTGAATACTTATGTCATCTGAATATGCAACAGCATAAATAATTGCTGTGGCAACAGATTTAATTTCTGTAGCTTTCTGCCTTCTATCCCTGGATACTGTGTTTATTTTCAACAAGTATAACTTCAACTGGTACTGACTGTGACAGTATAGTCTCTATACACCTGAAGGCAGTGTTCAAGCTTACAATTTAGTGTTCTGGATTGCAGCACCCACAAGTAGAAATTAACATCTGAAGATGCATATTGTGAATGTCTTCTCCCTGCACCGAATAAAATATATTTAAGAAACATCCCAGCTCCATTTTTTTCTTGGGCTCAACTATCTACAGATTGAGGTATACATCACTCCCCAGTGTAAAACACAATGCAGTAAAGTCGATCACAGCATCTTCATTCACTCACATATTCGAATCATCTCGGTTCTCCTGTCTAATAAAACATAAAAGGTGGGATGATTAATCCATCCTGCAGAACATAGTGAACCAGTGTAAGAAACAAGATTTTTTTGTTGCTATTCTGATATTCTGCGATTCAGGTGTTGATGAATTTCTAATCACTGCCAGAAGACTGCATGAAGTTTAGCAAGTATACAGCATGTGCTCACTGGTATTAACTTAGATGGTGACACGTACTACTGCAGAACACAGGAAGACTGTTGCATGGCCCTATGGTTGGCTCTATAGGAATCAAGTGAACTTGCTGATCAAGTTGCTCACAAAGTAACACATTTTTCGATATTAAAAGAAGTACAATTTGGCAACATTTCTGCTCTTAGGGACGACACACCAGAAAATCTCTGTGGAGCTAATAGGCACATAAAAGCATTTATGGTGATGAATGTGTTGAGGGTATTAAATATTCATTTGCTCCTGCCTCATTAAGGTTCTATGGCACGAACACAGACTCTTGCAAAGGTCTGTGATCAACAGCCATTTGCTAATATGGAGTGAATCAGAGTATCAATATTTAAAGAGGGGGGATAGGCTGGATAGAGACACATCCACACCCTCAGAGGAGCAATGAAGGAATGTTTGTGACAGAGTAGTGTGAGAGTTATAGATGCACTAATTAATTAAGACAGAAGAAATGCGGAGCAGAAAACAGGAGAAGTAGTAAAAGTATAGAGTGAGGGCCAAACCAGTGCATTTACATTGGAATCACATGAGCATGAGTTAGTGTGAGTCAGTGTGTTTCTGTCTCTTGGGGGCTAAATGTGGAAAAAATAAATATTGCCTGTGCATTCTTTTTTTACGTGTGTTTCTACAAATTGGTAATTCCTTGCCTGGATGAGCTTCCCCAGTTTCTTGCTTGATTTAAAGCCACAGGATATGAAATCTGTGATTCATGTTGTCTTGTAGCATTTAATGAGGATTGCCAAACAGCATACGTGAGTCGAATAGAGTGTCAGTGATTTCTGCTTCCCACCCGCATCTTCTAATCGCTCCACTCCCAGCTCCTCCAGGTTTTCCATTTTCTACATTTTGATATTTCATTTATTCCACTTTTTCTCTGCTCGTTCTAAAGGAAAACCGGTTGCAGTTTGCTCCGTAGCAAATGCGGTGAACGCTGCCTTTAAGATCTATTGCAGAATGCCAAGTGACATTTTGAGGCATCAAAGAAGGCAGTGAATCGAAGCACAGAAAGTAAGGCGAACAGACGTTGATCTGTCGTGTGAAATTTGCTTCAGGAGAAAATTTTGAATGTTTCATCAACTTTGTTGTGTTTTTGATGACATAAATGTGCAATCAAAGGATCAAAAAAGGGGCCTGGAAGAAAGAAGGGCTAACAACTGGTGTTCCTGTCACAGACAGATGTGTCAGTCATGGAACATCTCCACTGGTTGTTTGTGGCCAAAAGAGACAGACTGTAAAAAAACAACACCAGTTCAGCGGTTAAATTTGTGCAAATAAAAAAAATGAAAACCCTCTTGGGGTTGTACCAGCTTGTTCGTGTGATGGAGCTTTATCCTGAAGAGAGAGGGAACACAGAGAGACGCTCCAAGCAGAATCTCACTGCTCGGCTCACATACCCTGTTGCAAATATGTCAGAGAAAATGCAATAATGCAGCATTATTACTTTAAGGTGGCCCAAAGTAGGCAGTCAGTAGTGCCATGAAATTGAATAAATGATGAGATGCTGTTATCATTAGACTTAACTACAAGTTTGTATCTTCTGCTATAGCAACATTTACTTTTTACTTTTCCACTGTTCAAGTTGTATTTGTCAGACATCCTGCAGGATCAGGGTTTTACTGTTGCAGCTGCTTAAGCCCCCCCCCCAAAAAAATGTTATATTTGCAAAGAGCCGTAGCCACCCCCGGAAATGTGCTGCTTCTGATGTGTTGATAGTTTTGCAAGTGGGAATTAATCAAATTCATGTAACCCAATATTTTGATGGTAAAGTGTTTGGATAGCTGCCCTAACTTTTAATAACCAGCACATATTATTACTTTACTGCACGCCTCATAAACGTGATCAAATGGGAGAGCAATCTTTTCCTAATTACCAGTTCTGTTCCTCAAGCTCTCATGGTATTTGTCCATGTGGTTCACATTTATCAAAATCAAACTGTTGTGGAAATCAGTTAATGCAAAATGATCGGAAAGATGTTCTCCTACTCTACATGTGGTTGGTGAAGTGGTTGTAACCTTTGGCATTAAACTGAGCAATAATTAGAGCAAAGTCGGTGAGAGTTCAGGGTCGCACTACTGCAGTATTCATCTTCAGATTTCGGTTTCCACAAGACCACAAACATGTCATTGGTCATCTTAGGCTGCTTATTTTTTCTGCAGCAAGTTAGAAAAAGGCACAGTGAGTCTGGTCTAGCAAAGCTGATTAATTGATGGTATCTGTTTTGACCTATGAACTCAGTTTATTAACTTTAGCTGCTTTTCTTTTGATTTTTCTAATGATGGGCACCTCCTGTAGTGAGACAAATTTCTAAAAGGTATATAACCCTTTAAAGTGTCTCTCTTTCTAGACTCTTCATAATAATGTCTCAAGAATAAACCTGCCAAGTCTTTTTTCAAACTGATCCAACAGTTCTTTCGACAAAAGAAAAAGAAAGACAAACTGCACACCACACCAGCATGTACAAGTGTATTATATTTTCCTACTGCAGGGTATGTAAGCAACAAAAAACACACCCACATAGACACACAGACTGAATGGAAAATGATGAATAATGTCAGTTCATGAATGCTAAATGTGCGTTTACCTCTTCAACCTGGCCAGACCCACCCGCGGGTCCATTATTACAAAGTTATGCTGTGCAGACAAGCGTTTTGCATAACCCAGAGAATTCTAGTCAAGATTCAAGTGTTTCCATAAATATAACATGTATCAGGCTGCATTATAGGGAGATGTTTAAAATCATGCACTTGGAATCTTACACAATAAAGCTGAGGCTTCTTTGAGACAAGCTGTAAACAACATAATAACCTATTGCCTTTTGAGATAATATGGTGACTTTTTAGCAAAGATTTTCCTTTTTACACATCCGGCAGTTACGGAGCATTCAGCGATCAGCTTTCATCTAGAGTTGTGTATCTGGCCAGCTGGCTTTAGTCCAAAACTCACTCTCTTTTGAGCTGTGTTTTAGTCTCCACCAACTTCCGAGGAAAAGGTCTGGCCCTTTAGCTGCTAAACGCTTTGTACGTGCTATGCAGCTTGAACCAGGCTTTCCATGTTAATGCAGGTTTGTTTGTATGTAAATAAGTATCCAGACAGGTTGTTAACAAGTGTGTGGAAGTGGAAGTAAGTTTGCATGTTTGTGTGCGTGTGTGCGTGTGTGTGTGTGTGTGTGTGTTTAAGGCAGGGACAGCCGGTCTCAACCAAGCAGTTGTTATATCTAAGAGCTGGTACAGTACACGCCAGGCATGAAATAATCCTCTATTGATTCGCTCCACTGTCTTTGTATCTGTTGCTATCTGTCTGACTTTTTCTCTCCCCTCTACAAATCTCTCCTTCTCTCCATCTTATCTCTGCTTGTTTGCTCTTTTATTGGGCCATTTTTTCTTTCTCATTTACTCTCTTTCTCTCTCTTTGTGCCATTTGCTCTGTTGCACTCCCTTGCTTTTCAATATCCTCTTCTAATCTGCGTGCTGGGAGCCCACTGAAGCATCCAAGGCTTTGGTTGGTTGAGGGGACGATCAGCACTCACCCCATCATGTTCCTGGGCCGTTTCATTAGACAACGTGGCTCTCCGCAGAGTGAGAGCAGCTGCCTTGTCTGTTATGCTCAGAGAGGCCGGTGTGTGTGTGTGTTTGTGTGTGTCTGGGTGTGTAAATAAGTGTGATAGGTATATTGAAGGGTGGTATAGATAGGTTGGTGGATAGATGGACAGACACAGGTAGGTAAATCTCTTGAGGGCTACTTTTTTAGACTAAAGATACTATAATTTTAACCGATCAAGCTGTGATGATGTGTTCAAAATAAATATTGATTTAAATTAAATACAATGCTGGCATTTGCTCCCTGTGGGCCCACGTCTGTAAAGGCCGATCCGTCTCTCTTCTCTGGGGTGACTGGGGCTGCACAAGTCATCCAAACTGATCGAATCATATGTGCACAAAACCCGCTACAGGAGCTGTATCCATTACGAATAAAAGGACGAGTTTCATCTAATCAGTCGTGACGTTCTTTCACCAGAAATGAGTGCTTTCCATAGACTGTAAAAGTAAGTTTGTATGAATTGTACCAAAGTGCTCTTTCTCTCCCGCACACAGACTCTTTGCTTCTCTCTGTCTTTATCTCGGTTGCGCGCTGTCCAGAGGCAACACGATTTCCAAACCGACAACAATAATTGTTTTGGAATTGCTTGTGACATTGCTTGTTAAATCACGAAGCAGAGCTCAGTGGTCGATGACAGTCAGCCATCAGCGATGGATGATGGCATCGTTCATGTTTTAATGCGCGGAATTGCATTGCACGCGTTCATTCGATGCGACAATAACACAGGCAAAGTGTTAACCGCCTTTAAGCAGCATCGGCTATCGAAGAACGAACTCTCACGTATCAGAATACATTTGCATGAGCACAAGTAGGCAAGCACAATTAGGCAATACCCCAAATCTGACAAATCTTGTTCATCACACAATGTGAACAATGTCATATAAATTAAACTTCATGCGCGGACCCCACAGGTAGTTTCTTTTGTCTGTAGCTGTGCACTTGCACTTATTTGCCTCTATAAACTTTCCTCACGCTGAATTCACTTTAAGACCGTTTAACGAGGCTTCTCTGACAGATGTTTGCCTGCTAATGTGTGTTTGACAGGGGAGATTATTACGGCTTACTCACTCGACAATTGCTCAGCTCCTCTGCGGACAGGACGACAGTGCCACATTTCTTCCCTTGGATTCCTCTGTGGAGTAAAGAGAGAAAACAATAAGAGCTGAACATAAATTACAGAAAACATCTTCTACTTGTCCACTCTTAGGCGATTATTAAAGGTCACTGCAAGAATAAAAGCATTTCATTTTTTCAACTGTGAATTAGTCTTTGTGATTAACTCATCCTTGACATTCCATGACACTTCCAGAAAGTCTTTTTTTAAATTGAATTACAATTTTTGACATTACTCAACAGGGCCATGTGATGAACCTGCTTATGAGCCTCTTACAGAAGCTTCAAGTCTGTTTTGTTACATTTTCCCGATTGTACAAAGCAACTGATCTAATTTCCTAAATTTCCAATATGGTTTAAATACTTGGGTGATCAACCAAACAAAAGCAGTCACTACTACTGAGTTTATGTGCTTATTCGTCTGTTTTTAATTCATTTTAATAAAATAATTCTGATAAAATCAATTTCAAAAGAAAGAAGAGATTTGAGAATCAGAAAGGCCATCAAAAGCTATTTTACTTAACATTGTGAGCAGTAAGGAGTACAATAGGACATATGTGTTAAGGTATTTGAAATGGTAACCTGTCAACAAAGACTAAAATCTCCTCGGTCCTTTCGTCCACTTAAGGTGACAGGTGGAATGTAATCTTAATTGTCATGAAATGGAATTTGTTTATTAAGTTTTAAATGGAAAAGATGTAAAAATCACATGCCATCAGGACATACTTTCTACACATTAATGGAAGAAAATCAGTCCACAAGCCAAGGCTTTTAACATTATCAAAAAAGAGACCATATTACTTAACTCTATCGCTTTGACACGACTCTCTGCTCCCTCTACTGGCTTCCTCTGAATCATAGCACTGAGTTGAAAAACTTTTCTTTTGTCTGCTTATATAAGTGAACTGCTGTCCTCATACCATGCTGTCACAGACTTGAGATCCTCTTACCAAAGGCCTGTCAGTCGCTATACGTCCGGGTCTAAATCAGGACCCACTAGCTTCTGACTTTGCTTGGATTAACTGTGTTGTTTGAATAGCTTAAGTTATAAGTTGTATCCAGACGAAATCCATTCAACTTTTTTGTCAACATGAGACTTGTGTAGAAATGAAATATGCTCCCACTTAAGGCCCATTGGTCCATTAGACAAACCGCTAAATGTTTCTCCCTTTTCCCCACAAAATGTATCGCGTCTCATTCATCTGCCTGATGTTAGCGTGTTAGATCTCCCAGAGCACTAAATGTCTCACCAGTGGACTGTGACGTTTACTGTGGTCATTTAGCATGTGTGTTAATTGCCTCATTCATCAGCTGTGTGCCACAGTAAGAGGAATGTGCCTTGTTAGTTTGAAAGGGTTTCGCGTAGCGAGGCATTGTGGTTGTGGGCGACCTGCATTGGCTTTCTTTCAGTCCAAAGACGTTAGGTGAATTATCTAATGCTGGTTTCACACCAAAGGAGCAAAGGAGTTTTGTTTGTATTTGTTACTGCCAACTAAAGCTTGATTCATATTGGTATAGTTTGTTTAGGCAACTTAAAGCACGTAATTATGTTCAGGGAAAGATCAGAATCTTGTCAATGCTAACTTGAAGCATGACACTAGATGAGTCAACTTTTCCCAAACCTAACCAAGTGTTGTAGCCATCTTAACCTAACAATACGTAAGATGCAGCATTTCCTCATCAATCCGAAGGCCTTCACCACGACATCTTTACAGAATATGAATGTCTAAATTCTTGGATTCTAACATTTTTTGCCAGTGCAGTAAATGTAACCTTTGCGGCTATTCTGTTTTTTCCTCAAAGTCTTTAGCAAAGCATAGTAGTACAACAATATATTGCATAGGAGACAGACGTTGTGGGTACACCCAACATATTTTATTTTGCCAGGTAGATGCTGTATGCTAGAGTTGGATGCTCTTGACATTTCAGCAACAAAGTGGCACAAAAACCAACTACAGTTAAGATTTACACTATACTTATATTACAGTGGGTATTTCCAGCTGCATTTTTTGACAATTTACACAAAAGATTGATGGACTTGGCTTGATGGACTCTGGTTTTCACTCAATATGCTGAGGTCATCAGACTGGCAAAAGTGTTCTCCAGCTGTGTATAAGTGCATTCTGCTCTTTGTGTAGAGGTGAGTGGGTTTTTAAGAGGTAGATGGAGACCTTTGATCCACACAGTAAAAGACTTTCATTGATCTTGATGTGGGAAAACCATCCTGGTCGCATGGGCGACTGTGAGTGTTGTTTTTTTGTCTCACCTAAAATCTTGCACACACACACACATATTAGACATCTGGTACCCCATCAGCCTCTGCCTCAAAAAACAGCTTTCAAAAGACAAATGACTCCATATCTACTCCACACATTCCTTCCTTCACCTCCTGTAGCCAAATCCATTCCCTCTGTTCTTCCCAGAAATAACCTGATGCCTTAAGGCTACTGAAAAGCTAAAATCAACAAACAAAAAGAGTTTGGGTTACACAAGTAAATCTGCGCTGTGCTGACAAGCTGTGACTGTACAGTCGCTGCAGAGCAAAGCAGTTATGGCTAAAATGAATAATGTACAGTCACAGGAACGGGGCTTTCAACTATAAACCTGGGTTAGTTGAAAATACTTTTATGCTTTGTACAAGTTGTATCTAAAGAACGTGTGGGTGCAGTAAATGGATCCTACTGAGAATATTAGTTGTGCTACATGCTATCCAAAAATACAAAAGCTCTAAAGAAATCGAATAGTATTTTTATTGATTGCTTTTAATGATAACCTTTTTAAAGGTGCGTATGTGTATAACTTGTCAGAAAATTAGGAAATATGACCATTAGAATCTCCTAAAACGCAAGGTTTTTTCTTGAGGTTTTGGGTTCGTTTTTTTTCGAGTCCAAAACCCAAATATGGTGAATTTGCTACCACAAAAGACAAAGATGTGTGGCAAATTCTCACAATTCACAGTCTGGAATTAAATCATATTTACCATTGTTTGATTGAAAAATTATAAATTTTTCCAAATATGTTTGGAGGGGTTTTCTGTCTATTGACTATAATCGTTTCAGCCTTACTAATATAAACGTATAAATCTCAACCCAGTGTATAATAAGTATGTGTCTCACCACAATATACTGTATACCTACAGCAGTATATACTGTATGGGTGTGTGGGCAATCCTCAAAATATTCCAAGTTTGTCAACAAAGCTATTTTGCAAGTATAATATTCACAATTCTGCTGAGGACTGACAGAAAAGAAAACAAAGCAGTTAGTTTTAAACTGCATTCTATCCCCTGCTGGATTTATTTCATGACTATGCATGAAAAAAATCCCACCCGTCTCCTTGCTTAAGGAAATATTGGAGGAAGGAGGTGAATGATTTTTTTGCAAGGTGCCACACAAGATACTGCTCCATCATACTGGAAACCTGAAGAAATAGCCTTTTAAATGCTTTAGGCTGCATGGCAGGAAGTTTAATTCTTTGAACTGCACCTGCAAATTAGAAAGCTCTTCTTATAATAACTTGGGACGCCTGAAAATAACAGAGTTTCTCCTTTTTTCTTTTATAAGCAGTAATGTATGCATAATATAACCTATTAGCACAATGCTTCAAAGACACACAGCGTCGGCACACAAGTGCTTCTGAACCTCCGATATTAAAGAAAGGAGAGCTTTGTATTGACAGAGTGCACACACACACACACACACACCCACACACACACACAAACAGGAAGAGACAGAGACATATTATTGCCCAAAGGAACATGTAAACCTAGAAATAATACTTACACCAAATCCCTCAAAGCATAAAGACCCACTGACACACTCTCTCTCTCACACACACACACACACGCACACACACACACACACACCATTTTGTTCAGAGTGGTGGAAATCTGGAATTACAGAAATCTTCAGGGAGTCAAGACTAAAGCAAACTGCTGTGAATAAGGAACAGCTAAATTAATTTTGCCAAGAGGCATATGAGAAGGACAAGAAAAGTATGGATGATTACTACTGGGCTAATTTGGAAGCTACTCTTTGTTCTCTTTCCAGCTTACATTGTGAGTCGCTGTGTATGCCATTAACATCCTGTTATGATCCATCTTTTATTTATCTAGTTTGATTTATGCTTCTGTTTCTCAGTATGTGACCACAACAGAACAACACATTTGTTTGTTTTTCACCTGAAATTCCTTTGGACTTGTCCTTCCATGATTTATCTTGTAGTATCTTCTCATAACAAGAAAAATATTGGAATATAATATAATATAATGAGAACCTCTTTGGGTCATGGTTAGAAAAGCGCAGACATTGTCTTTCCTGATTGAACTAGACTGGGAGTTTACAATCATGCCAATGGCTTTGTGAGGCTGCAGACACAGCGATGCTTTGAGCTAAATACTAACAGCATGCTAACACACAATGACAACATGCTATTGCTACTGAAACACGGAGCACAAAAGATTGTTTCCTGGGCCAAGGGCCATTACTCAGACTTCTTGAGAGTGACATTGTACTGGAGGACTTCCAGAAGAGCACTCTACCAAAGGCGTCTACAGTAAAGAATAGCGCCTCATTGATTCACTCTGTGCAGCTTGACAGAGAGCCTGGAAATGCATGTCATTAACAAAGAAAAATGAGAGGTTTGAACTGAGAGGGAAGGGCACAAAAGTTGAAGAAAGATAAGAAAGAAAGAGGGAGAGGGCATGTACCCAAAGATGGTACAAAAGGCGTCACACCCCAAAATCAATAAGATCGATGCTTTATTCAGTTTTCAATGTCTAAATTCAGCACAGGGGATGCCTTTTTCAGTGTGTATCATTAAATTGTTTTCTATATATATATATATATATATATATATATATATATATATATATATATATAAACACACACACATATACTTAAACGATAGCCATTCGCTATAATGTGTATTTAAACATATTCAGTATATAGCTGGAAATATATTCATTTTTTTTCTCTACAATTCCACTTGAAACTCTTATTTTCATTTTGCACAAAATTT